GTTTCACGTGTGAGGCATGTCCCCGTCTGTCTCTCCACGTGTGGGTCGTGTGTCCCGTGTCTGAGGCCTGCCCTCCACTCTCCGCAGGAGGAAATGGCGCTTGAGCTCATTCACTGTCCCGGCTACAAACTGCAGCTGCACCAGCACTCCTACCTGCGCAGCACCGTGATCCTCGTGCTCACCCTGCTCATGGTGCGCAGGGGACGCCCTGGTGGGGATGGAGACCGGCTGAGCCCTCTCCGCCCTCCCTGCTCCCACGCCTCCCATCGGCCCTACATCCCCCACCCCCGCACCTGTGCCCTCCCTGTCCCCGCACCTCCCCGCGCCCTCCCCGGCCCCGCGCCCACCGCAGCCGTCCCACAGATCTCCCTCATGATCGGCATGGCGCACGTCCTGGTGGTCTACCGAGTCCTGGCCTCTGCGCTCTTTAGCAGCTCGGCGCTGCCCTTCCTGGAGGAGCAGGTGACCACGGCCGTGGTGGTGACCGGGGCCCTGGTGCACTACGTGACCATCGTCATCATGACCAAGGTGGGGCCGGGAGCAGGGTGGGCCGCGCTGGGGTCCGCGGGGCCGCGGCGAGCCCATTTGGAACTCTCCTCCGCAGGTCAATAAGCTCGTGGCCCTGAAGCTCTGCGACTTTGGTGAGAGGACGACCCAGACCCTCCTGGGGGACCCAGCGGGAGGACTCAGGGCTGGAGCCTTGGAGCTGTGGTCACAGACCGGGGAGGGGGCTCTCCCCTGAGCAGGGAGAGAGGTGAGGGCCCGTCCCTTTCCAGAGAAGCCCCGGACCTTCTCGGAACGGGAGAGCAGGTTCACCATCCGCTTCTTCACGCTGCAGTTCTTCACCCACTTCTCCTCGCTCATCTACATCGCCTTCATCCTGGGCAGGTAGGCCAGCGCCGGGCCCCTTCCAACCAACGCAGGGGCTGGTCCCACTGCCTTTAACGTGGCAATGTCCATTCCTTTAATTTTAAAAACAGACCGGGCGCAGTGGCTCACACCTGTAATCCCAGCACTTTGGGAGGCTGAGGCGGGCAGATCACCTGAGGTCAGGAGTTCCAGACTAGCCTGGCCAAGGTGATGAAACCCCGTCTCTACTAAAAATACAAAGCTAGCAGGGCGTGGTGGCGGGTGCCTGTAGTCCAAGCTACGCGGGAGGCTGAGGCAGGAGAATCACTTGAACCCGAGGGGCCGAGGTTGCATGAGCCGAAACTGCCATTGTACTCCAGCTTGGGCAACAGAGTGAGACTCTGTCTCCAATAATAATTAGTGCTGACAGCAATTGGAAATCCAATCTAGAGGCCTGTGGGGGAAGCCCGCAGCAGGCCCAGCCCCTGAATCCCAGGCCCGAGGGGGCGTCAGGGCCATCGGCGGTCTTCCAGACCTTCTCATGCATTTGCGCGCACAGAGCAGCGCTGGCAGAAATGGCTCTGTCCTGGGAATAATTGCACCTGCTCTTTATGCTGAAAGGGCACTCGGGTTTGCCTTTCCATACATCTTCATAGATACACACACACATACATACATATACGTATGCATACATACATGTATATAGAGAGAGATAGAGAGAGAGAGGGAGGGCACACACAAGTGAGACAGTGAGTGACAGGCTCTCGCTCTGACGTCAGGCCAAAGTGCAGTGGCACAATCTTGGCTCCCTGCAGCCTTGGCCTCCTGGGTCTCCTCAGTAGCTGGGATTACAGGCATGCACCAGCCCCCCCAGCTAGTTTTATATGTTTTGTAAAAATGGGGCCTCGCCGTGTTACCCAGGCTGGACTCGAACTCCTGGGCTCAAGTGATCTTCCTGCTTTGGTCTCCCAAAGTGTGAGGATTACAGGTGTGAGTCACTGCACCGGCCAAAGGAAGGTGCAGATTGATGGGACCAGAAAGGGCCACTTCACTAATTAGGAAGGCGAGGTGAGAGGCATGCTGGCTGCAGCCCTACCTTTTTATTTTGAGACGGAGTCTCGCTCTGTCGCCCAGGCTGGAGTGCAGTGGCACACTCTCGGCTCACTGCAACCTCTACCTCCTGGGTTCAAGCGATTCTCCTGCCTCAGCTTTGCCCACCACCACACCCGGCTAGTTTTTGTATTTTTTGTAGAGATGGGATTTCGCCATGTTGGCCAGGCTGGTCTGGAGCTCCTGACCTCAGGTGCTCCACCCTCCTCGGCCTCCCAAACTGCTGGGGTTGCAGGTGTGAGCCACCACACCTGGCCCTGTAGATGTTGGTTCTTGACCCCCGTTCGTCATGGCTTGCTGTGGGCCACGTGTCTCCTGATAGGACCTCTCACTCTGGAAGTTTCTGGAGGTGAACCCTGATCTCCCGTCTGGAGGCAGAAGGGTGCTGCTGGTGTGCAGAGAGGCCAGCTGGGGCTGGGGAGGACAGTGGGGGCCTGAGTGTCAACTGGTCCAACCCTGCGTGCTAAGTCCTTAGCTGTTCAAACCCCTAGTGAGCTTCTAGTCCTCCTGGGGGGGCTTTGTGGTCAGGTAGGAGGCCCAGGGGCCTTCCAGCGGGGTCTGCATGCCCCCAAACCAGCAGGGGTGCCCAAGTCCTGAGGCTTCCTGGGGATCCTGGCAGGCTGGGTTGCTTCCTGAGTGTCTCCCCCAAAAGCTGGATGTCTTGAGGGACTTCTGACCACCCCGATTCCCTTCCACCTATTTGGTGCTCCTGGGAAGTGAGTGTCAGCAGCCTGCTGTTTTATTTACTTACGTTTAGAGACAGTATCTTGATTCATTGCCCCAGGCTGGAGTACAGTGGTACAATGAAGGCTCACTACAGCCTCAGACTCCTGGTTCAAGCAATCCTCCTGCCTCAGCCTTCTGAGTAGCTGGGACTACAGGCATGTGCCACCATGCCTAGCTAATTGGTTGTATTTTTTGTAGAGACATGGTTTGTCATGTTGCCCAGGCTGGTCTTGAACTCCTGGGCTCAGGCAATCCTCCCACCTCGGCCTCCCAAAGTGCTGGGATTACAGGTGTGAGCCACCGCGCCTGTAGCCAGCCATTTTAATTGCAAGTTGGGAGTGTGCATTTACATTAATATAGACACTGCTAAACAGACCCCCAAAAGGCTGTGTCAGTAACACAGCCACCCGCAGGGCACGAGACCACACGTTCCATCTTGAGCCGACGGGCAGCGTCTTTTCATTTTGTAAAAGTGCCTTTAAAAACTGTCGGCGAGGCCCAGCGTCTCTCTGGGTATCGACCACTGATTGCATTCTTCTTCCTCTGAATGGACCGTCCGTATCTGCTGAGCGTTTTGTTGGCTTCCTGCAGCAGCAAAGCCGTGTATGTGTGTACGTTCCTTCCTTCCTTCCCGCCTTTTTCTTCCCTTCTGTTCCTCCTCGTCCTTCTCTTTCCTCTCTTTCTTCCTTCTCTGTCAGTTTCTTAAAATCATGGCATGTTTTACTTGGCATCATATTCAGAACCTTTGTTTTTCCTGGAGTTTATCTTTTTTTTGGTCTGCCTTCCAATCCATTTCCTGGGGTTTCTAATTGCCTTTTTCCCTTGCGTGCCTTTGTCACTCCCTCAGGCTTGTCCAGCCTCTCTGGTAGACTGCGTAGCGCGCGGAGCCTCTTTTCCCGGAGACCTTCCTTGCCAGCCCTCCTCTCTCCTCCCCACACCCTGCAGGTTGCTCTGCGCCTCTTCACAGCTCTCTCCTGGGTTAGGGCCACTCGTTCCTGAATTCCCAAGCCACCTTCTTTCTTGGTTTTTGCTCTTATTTCCTAAAAAATGTATATTTGGTAAACTTGCTGAATTCTTCCATGTCTAAAAATGTCACGATTCTACCCTTGCATGTGATTGTGGCATGCAGAGTGGCCGGGGGGAAGCGTGTGGAAAACCTTACTTTTCCTCCTGGAAGCTCTAAGCTGGGGAGCAACACGGGGGTGGGTCTTCTCTCTGTCGCTGTGCCGGGCTGTCCGTGCGCGCTTCCGACGGAAAACCTGTGTCCCGTCTTGGCTCCTTCAATTTCCGTCTTAAAACATTTTTTTTCTCAGGTTTGGTTTTAAAAGTGTTTCCTTCTGCTCCCTCTCTTCATGGAGCTCCCGGCCCCGGCGGGCTTGCTGACCACGCTCCCACCTTTTTCTCCTGCACCTCCCGTCTCTGTGTCTCCACCTGTGACATTTGGGGAGAATCACTTTGCCTTTTTCTCCATCCATTGATTTTTTTTT